TTGTAAAGTTGTACCAAATAAAATTATTATTCAAATGTTAAAAGATTTTGTTTATTGTTGTGTTTGGGTCGGACTTTAAAATGGGTGTGTGACTCACTTTCCAATGACAAATTGACTGAAATTTATTATTAAAAAGTACACATCTTTAGGTTTGTTTAAAATAAAATTATGAATAACATCAACAATATGTGATCTTATGAAAATAAAGATATCTGTATTTGTTTATTTTTCTAAATAAACTAAGTTACCAGCAGTTACATCCAACCTCTGAAGTTTCTGTAACTTATTAAATAATAAGAATAAGCTTTACAGTTATAATTAATTACAAAGGAAGAACATTGTATGAACAACTTATCAATTTTTAATACTTTCTGTTTTTAGGTGTGAAACAAGTAAAAAGTAGTTGAAAACATAATCTATGGATTCACAGAAATAGAATTTGAATAAAGATAAAATTTTACATTCTATTCATATTTAAAATAACTAAATGTTGAACTAGAACTTATGATCTTATGCTGATGGCTGAAAAATAAATTTACAATCAAAATTGATGAAAATAACACAAAAATAAGTACAAGACTAGCCAAATTCTTCAAGGTAAGTGGTAAATATTAAGTAATTCCCAAAGCACATATTTCCAGCAATTACTTGAACAATTTTAACCTTTTAAATTGGCTTGATATTTAGTATAAAATGGTTTGCACAAAACATGAAAAAGATTCAATAATAAAACTTAAACATTATTTAGGTTGTGTGTAGAATATCTCTCTATTATTGTTTCAAATATTGTAGATCAACCTGTAAATTGGTCATGTGATGACAAGTTTTTCAAACTAATTTGATTTATGATTCTGTCATAGACATTTCAGAAAAATGGGCAGGCAATAAAATTTCCTATCTGTACCTGTAAAAACTAATCATAATTTTTTACATGGAGTTCCATCATTGTAGAGAATTGCAAAGAAGTTTTGTAAGTAAATGGGGAGAGATCCATATAATCAAAGAAAACCATTTTTTTTTTAATAAGGTATGTAATTAGGTGAAAAGCAATAATTAAATTGATTACTTACTTGAATCAATTAATTACAATTTCATTCTGTTGCAGATGAATGAATGCACCTCTTCGAATTCTATATAAATATTAAAAGAAGGAATCTGCTTCAGCAGTACTGGCTGCATCTCACTGCAACATCTTTGTTACAAAGTTTGATTGTTTGAAATATTTTAATTCTAAACTAAATTTTGAAAAATAACTTATTATATGAGGTAGTTTAACCGCAAATCTAAAAAAGAGCCACCATGTTACAGGAAATCCTAGTAACTATGTTAATGTCAATATTTATATATAGATGTGTCACCTATAGATTTAGTGTTTTATATTAGTTTGATGTTAATAATATGACAATTTTTAGAAATATGTATTAGACTTTAATATAAAATATACACTAGCATAATAAGATTTTCTCGAAATTGGGAAATGCAGTGTATAGAAAATAAAAATATACTAAAATGCTTTGTAAATTAGTTAATTGTCTTTTTTTATGTATTATGATAGCATTAAGAGTTAATAAATAAATAAAATATAGGGAATAAAGTATCAAGTACAAAAGATAAAAAAAAATACCATTTAGTGAAAAATATGAAACAAAATTAATTTATTAAAATTTGGATTTTACTAATATCACAACTTGTAATATATCATAAACTTTTTTTTAAATAAGAAATAAAAAAATAGAGATTGTATACAATTTTCTTATAAGTAATTTAAATTTCAACACAGGTACTTTACCCCAAAATGATGCCTCCTAAGCTCATTATTTTTCCTCGTTAAGGAATCTATAGGTTACACATCTATGGAGAATAGTAATAACAAAAGAGTTAAAATGCGGAATCTTTAGGTTCATGATAATTTTATGAATTTATTTGAGAAGTAAAACTTAAATATTGTATTCTATTTTTACATTACATAATATTTAACATGACTTGTACATTTGCAATGTTTTGATAGGAAAAGTTTGGATTAGGAGACTATTTGAAGCGTCGGCAGTGCAGTTGGCGCTTGACCGGATCATATTTTACATATCCAGGTACGATCTCCGCTATATAGTAATGCGTTCTTTGAATTTCATGATAATCATCCACCCGACATTCTTACTGTAATTACAAATTGCATACAACTGCATAGAAATTCAAAGATATGTGCGAAGTCAACCAACCCTCACTGGCTCTGCGTTGTTGAATAAAACCTAGTCGCATTCTTGAGGGTAGGCTCAGAGCTCCTCAGTGGAATATAGTGTGTCCGTATAGTGAGCTTGATGATGACGACTTGTTTTGCTTCAATGCATATTGTCTTGTTAGCAATTTTCTAAATATTTTACCAACAGATAGGAGCTAATCTCTTTCCAGTGTTATTCTATTTCTCCCGACGAGAGTGGCACTACTACTCCAGTTCTATCAGAAAATACGAGCTATCAAATAAACAAACTGGAACAAATGAGCATTTATCAAAGTTGGGGTATTTTGTTAGTGAACTAAACAATAATGGTATTATTACGAAAGCAGTGAGCATTGTTGCGTTCTTAAAATATGTTCGCTTTAGTCAGAAGATTAAATTAAAGTTGCAATTAACGAAATTGTTTTATTTATTCAAAATTGTTTTCCCTCGAATAATACTTTCAAACGTCAAAAACGAAACTGACAGATTGATTTTTTTAGGTTGGTAACAACGTAAACTTGTTCATAATATTGCTAGCATTGAAAATGTCAATTTTTATTCTCCGTTTGTGTATCTAATTAGTCAAGAGTCCCGTCTCTTCTTTTATATACTCTTTGTTGGTGACATTTCGTGTAGGTAGACCATATACTCTTTGATTTAGGCTTTCAATATAAAAGAAAGCTACTGAAAAAGACTTTTAAATTTTACACTGATCAAAAATTGAATCAAATGATCAACTGTTACAAAACAAGAAAACTTCTCGTCACAACAAAGTTTCTTCGCATTCACACCGGATAATTTTATGAAAGCCAAAATTTCTTTCTTTGAACCTTCTTTGCAACTAAAAAAAAAATAATTAACGTAAAATTAAAAATGTAGGAAAAGATAAATGACTACATATAATTATAGGTTATTACAACTTAAAAATTATTTAAGCCACATTTTGGACAGTGAATCATCTAATACCCAATATAGTTTATTTTAGTTTGGTATTGCTATCATTATAATTTAGATAATTGTCCCAATATAGTTATTATATGGCAACACCAAACTAAAATAAACTATAATATATTGGGATGATAATGTAAATTATTTTATTTGTCATTAACATTTTCAAATACTTACGTTTTCCCTTTCCAAAAGCATTTCCAGCACTCCTGCACATTCATCAATCCGGAGCCAAAGAAGTTATTGTGTGCACTTTCAATATGCAAGTTGTCCATCACTGTGGTAAGATTCACCGTGTCTACTGGACTTGCGATAGGCGTTACTGCATCTCAGCGATTCCTAAACCATAAAAATAATAAAATCTTACTGCCGTAGGAAAAGTTACTTACTGGTGATTTAAATATTTGCTTAGTGGAGATTTTCCATAATGAATTTTCATTAACTTGTTCAATGACCCGTTAATATTTTACCATTAATTTTTTTTATCAAAAACCTTTATTGTTCCACAAACTAAATTAATTTGAAAAGTAAAATCTGCTCTGAGAGTTCGAGAAAGTGCAAGCAAAAATATTTACATTACAGTTTCATGTCAAAACGTAGGAAAATACCTCCAAAAGTTTTTATTAATCCTGGTCTTCATGATGTATGTAATGTTCCACCAGACGATCTCCGCTGCCATGGTGACGAGCACGAGTGAGTGCTGGGCGGGGCTGGTCGAGTGGGGGACGCCGTGCGTCAGCCGCTCCGGCACCGGGGAGAGCCGGCACCACTGCACCTTCGTCTCGTGGTGCTTTAGGAACCGTAGCTGTCGCTGATTGCTCACGTGCCAAACCTGCAATATAATCAACATAAGTTGTCACTCGCGAATTCTATTGAAAAAGACTTAATTGAGAACGTATAGGCTATACGTTCTTCCACAGTATGTTTTAAATTTTGTAACTCTGCACCTCTCAAGTCAGTTCTAATCGGTGATTCCGAAGTGACTAAGACATCACGTTTAATGTTAGATTCCCAAGTAAGATGTTGCCGATCGCGAGTTCGATTCAAGTATATACTCACAGCTTAGTGGCTTTATGTACAACGGTGACGTCATCGTAGTTGTCAGCCAGCTCGTGTCGCACCAGCAGGCACGCGATTGTACACATCACATCACTTACCAACGGTGGCTTCATGTTATCTAACACAAATATACTTCACTAGAACATGGAATATTCTAGAAATTACAAGCACAAGAGGAATCTAATACTTTGTTTCAACAATGGCATACATCAACATCAACCACGACCACAGACAAGTTTCAAGTGGAAGCAATTCTCTGTATAGTCTGATGAATGCATTCCAGAGGCCTAATTTTACTCTTCTTTTCCATCCTTTTGTTCTAAGGATGGGAAGGACAAATGAGGAGAATGGAACAAGAGGATTAGGCGGTTTGGAGAAGGATACCACACACAAGGCAACCCTCAAGTGAATAGTATTTATGGGTTTCGTCTGATAAGTGTGTGTGCGGGAGGACAAATTCTTTTCTCTTCTTCTTAATCCCATTTTCCAAATAAGAAATGGTGGGATGGATAAATTAATGTCTCTCATCGGTCTATTAAACCATCCCAACCCATCTGTAACCTTTTAACTTATTCAAAATGTCTATGGGCAGAGATCACTTTCCAGAAATCAGTTGGCCATTTGCTCGTTTTCTAAAATAATTAATCTAAGATATTGTAAAATAATCTTACTTTCAAGCAACCTTGTCAACGTATCGAGAAGCTCCGCGCCAAGTTCACGAGCATGTTCGTGAGCTTTGCCAAACTCCACGCGCACGTCGTCGTCTAAGGTCAACTTTCTGATAACTTGTAGGCATTCGCTAATAAACTGAAATACACAATTTATTATTACCGAGTTGATAATTGTTCACTTAGACCTTTAACATATATTAGGAAACTGACTTTGTAGCCTATGACATCGGCTTCACGGATTTAAAAAATAAATCGAAGCCTATGTGTTCTTCCAGACTATGTTCTACATGTATGCCAAATTTCAGCAAAATCCATGCAGCCGTTCTGAAGATATCTTCAGTACTTCAGAGTACAAACATCCATCCATAAATTCTCATTTATAATATTAGTTAGATTGTGCCAGTTTTTTTTCTCTCAGTGACATTTAAAGTAATTTAAAAAACAGCATCTTTTTCATTATTAACATTCAAGTAAGATTTCCGTTTTAAATATAGTAAATTTATAAGCGCAGGATAAATACCCTCTTTGCCTGCTCTTACTCTATGAGCAATATATTTGTTGCATTCTCTCTGAAAATTGAATAATCTTTGTACATTTTTTAAGTGTATGATGTCAAACACAAAATCACACCTTATTTCGCTAAAATCGCTGCTTGTTAGCCCCCTTCTGTTATAAAAAAAATTGGAGTTATTATTGCCCATGGGCATCTGCTACAAGTTAAAAAGTAACAGATGAATGCATTTAGGCAATGGTCTACAGTTAATGGACAGAGGAGGGACTCACAATAAGATGGTCTATTCCTCATTGGTATGGGAAGGCTTGCCATATCCACTTTCCCCTTCCCATCCTTTCCTTATATGAAAAGAGGTATTTTATGTAACTTTATACTATTAATTTACAAAAATTTCTTTAATACTGAGACCAGAGAGCAATTTTGTTTGTAATTTACAATTTTGCAAAGCACCAATAGCCTAATGGTTACAAGTACAGGTTACTTTGAATGGTGCAAGTAATATTAGTAAATAATTAAAAAATCTGCTAATTCTTAAAAATAAAGAAAAAATTATCGATAGAAAATAGTTACCACCAATATATTCAATTGTTCCAAGATTGGTTCATCATTGTTTTGGGCTGCATTTGACAACTCCTTGAGTTTTTTAACAGTTAAACTCACTTGATGTTCTTCACCAGTGTTTAATTTTAGATTCTTGATAATATTAGATAAATCCACACCCTGTAAAATAAATTGTATCTAGTAGGAATAGTGGGTTTTATTATTTTGTTCCTTTATTCAGCAGAACTATGTATACTAGAACTGTGTATTAACTTTAATTCTATTAATTATAATTTAAAACAATGAATATTTCATGAATTTTAGTGTTATTTTTATTTGGGAATTTATTTTACCTGTGCTTCAAATTGAGCAATTGCTTCTTTAATAGCCTCCTCGGGGCTCATATCAAATTCATCCATATTCTCCTTTACAACGTCATCGTAAGTTTCCTGAGTTATCACACGAACCATTTTTTACGTTCTAATGAAGTATTTTAGTTATTTTAATTCACAAGATACTTTTTTTCACTGTTAATCAAATTTATTTGAACAGCCGGTGATTCACAGAAGTTTTGAAAACAATTAATTCTTTTTGATATACACGACATTGACAATTGACAAGCTGTCATAATAAACTGAGCTACTGAAAAAGACTTGTAAATTTTACACATGGTGACATTTCGTGTAGGTAGACCATATACTCTTTGATTTAGGCTTTCAATATAAAAGAAAGCTACTGAAAAAGACTTTTAAATTTTACACATTTGGTGGATTTATGGCAGTAAAATTTGTGACAGATCATTAATTTTATTTAGGGCACCTTAAATTTGTATTTCAAAAATAAAATATAGCAACTTATTTATCATTAACTTATCAAATTATTTTTAAATTATGCTATTATTAAAAATATAAACAATTTTTTGATACTTAGAATACGTT